TGCATGCGTGTATTTGTCGTACCTGTGCCGTAATTTCCCATGCAATGTATATCTGCAAATTGCTTGCCTCAACAATCTGAATATTCTGGAGTGTTAGGCGTACAACATTATCGAATGTGAAAACGTGACATCATCCGTGTGCAAAACCTATCTATCCCTAACTAGAGGCATTGCAATCCACTGAAAGCAGGTGCGTTGTGCTGCTAGGTTCACCGGTAGTTTTACCTTCCTACCCTTCACTCACTAGTTACGTATATTACTGAGTTTCCTCAATTTTATTGCGTTTCTGTCGTGTTGAGTTTGAATTGTATTGCCTGCACGTACCTGAAAATGAGTCACGTATGCACTCCGGACATTTATCGTTGGGTAGTCATAGGTTTATCCCTAGAGTGAAACTTGTAAGATCAGATTTGATACACGCTTTGAGTCTCAGTTGTTAAGCTGCCCGCAGTCAACATGATAATTAGGAAACAACAGTTAAACACCTTCCGGTCTTGCCTTCTAGGGTGCACACCGAGTGCAGGCCGTTCAGACAGGCTCAAATTCGACCGAGTGCAACCTACGAGTAACCGTTCACATTGCAACTGTGGTCTAGTTTGGCGTGACAGGTTAGTTCTGCGATGAACGTTATGTCAATGTGTGAGCTGTGACAAGCAGGATATCTCCTGACCCACGATTAGGTCATTGTGAAAACATTTAAGCAATCAGGATATGTGATCGCGGGCGTAGCGTGTTTTTTTGCGTGACAACTAGCTCTTCGTAATGAATCCAGCGGATATGCTTACAGACACATTTGACGAATTCATCGGAGTTGAGCGTGAGACTAAACATAGTCCCAGCGACAGAAGTGGTCAGAATTATTCATTTCTGCCAACCTCGTTTGTTTTGGCTGAATCAGGCAACTGAGCGGCTGTTCAACACTCGGAACGCAATCCACATCTTGGTGAATAAGGACTAATAAAGAAGCACGCCTCGACCGCTGGGCCGAATATTTCAAACAGCAAGTATCGTGGCCCGGGAACTGCTATGGGCTCGGTGCGGCACTGCGGATGGTGGATTCGTAAATAATGAGCCACTACTACACTGATGTTCAGTGAATGCTTCCACACAATCGTCAAACCGGGGCTTCGTTTGAAGAGCCAGCAACAGGCAGGGCAGAAGGCGTTGTTGATTATCAATTGTGTTTCCGGTGGCAACCGAGGGAATATGACATGTAAAACCGTCACCCATTGAGCGAGCTTCGTATCCTGGATTTCATCAAACAGACATGTCTAAAGGCCAGACTGGAAGAGCTCAAACCAATTTTTTTACACCAGAGTGACTCAACGTGGCTCTTAAAATGACGGTTGTTTCTTGAAGCATCTGGATAAGGCGGTGGGAGAACACTGCTGCACAAATTTGCGTGACACGCCAGATAGCCTATTACCGGGTGAGAATTTGGACGACTGGAGCTCAGCTTTCAGAACAGGGTTTAGAATCGTGGGCTGCACGACACGGAAACGCAGGAGATGATCATTTTGATCGACAGAGCCTCAATGCTGATTTTATGTACTGAGACACGCTTTTGATGATTTTTCAGTCACTCCATTTTAAATGTTAACCTTGGAATCATTGTCCTTCCGAGGAAAATATCTCGCAATTCGTGTTGCTTTTATGCTTCGAGTGACAGGCTGTTACTCGATTATGTGGCACATGGTCGCGTAACTCTCAGTATATGAGAAAGTTATGACTAATTGGGAACCAGTTCTTTCAGCAAATTCTCAAGTTATCCTGTGCCGCGTTCGCTTAGGTATGTTGCAGATGACCACTGGATAACTGGGAACAGAGCTTGAGATATGACGCCCAGAGCATGATAAACAACTTGTATAGTGAGCTCCCTGTCGGCCCACTCTGCAGCGAATTCCCCGTGTGTCTATACAAACTACACAGACTAGGGAGTATTCAGCTATTTGCTCGTACTTTTTCGCGATTCTCTCGACACATGGGCTTGAAGTTTTCAGACATGAGCATTAGAATTAGTATCGAAAAAAACGACGATATTGTGAGGAAGGGCTAGTTCTAAATAGCGATACTGCGCAGGAGAAGCATTGGCCACTTTATTCACTCAGCGCATTCTTAAAAGGATGATTCTTACTCATCTTCACGATGTACAGGTTTATTGGTTGGACGGTACCCTTGGTCGTTGCACTTCCTGCACGAGCCCCGGAGAATAAGCTCGACCAAGGTGGCTGAGATCTGTTACCCCTTCAATTCTAACTCGCGTCTGAGACTACACCTTTGGCTGCAAACTCAAAAATTTGACAGGAAGACTAAATTGCACATGCATTTCCTGCTCACAAATTCTAGGAATTCTACACTTATTGCTCTTCTGTTGCGTTAAACACAGTCAGACAGCCTATGGCTAACAAAACTGACATGCGAACTCAAGTTTTTCTCGATTCTTTTTAGGCTGTTCTGTCAAAACACGTGCCTGATATTGAAAAAATCAGCGGACTTGCTTTCGAGCACACTCACTAACGTATCACTTGCACGTCCTTGTAGGTCGAGTGCAGTCAGCAGCGCATTGCGAAAACACGCTGGCCACTGGCCGCCTCTTCAAAGACGTGCAGTTTCAAAACTGTTTTCTCAAGGTGAGGCGTTTGGGTGTGAAGTGGTGTGGTCGGTCAGCAGAGCGACTCTGAAGCTTTGCCGCACACACTGTCCAGTATGTCATGGAATAGGAACACTCGGTCAGGAGGATGGTTTTGAGCGCCATTGGCCATGTGACTCAGCCATACTTGTCGAAGTAGTTCCCGCTGCCTTTTCTCGTTTCACGGGCCCCAGCCACGGAGACACTAGTTGACATTGCAACCGAATCGGCTGGTAAGGAACTTCCTATTTTGTAACCAAGTCGTGGAATGTCATCCCTGGGATCGTCTCCTTCCCACACAAGGCTTGACTCAGGGGGCGTCGCATGGCAAAAAGTCACGTGGAATAAAATCACGTCCTCCAACCAGCTGGAAATGGGGTGTAACCAGAAGATAGGAAACCAAAAACCATCTGGTGTACCTCAGCACTACTGATGAAGGAAAGGAGGCCCTCGCTGCGGCGTTATTTGCTAGAAAATGCCAACTGACCAGCTACAGACTATTGGACAGGAAAGCAAAACTCTCATATGCAGCTTATTTACAAAAACTGAGCATCCATCTTCTCTTGAACGCGTCTTCCTGAACTTTTCTAGATATTCATTGAGTGTTGCTCAAGTCCAAGCAAATGCCACAAAGCGAATCCACATATTCCGCAAATACCTCCGTTTTCAAGCGAAGAAGAAAACATGCTACTCGCATGCCTCCCCCATCAGTAGTATCACCAATAAACTGATATGGTATTCTGACCACACTGGAGTAGCGCTTCGGAGGGATCGGTGATCAGGCGTCACGAGTCTTCGAAGATCTTCTGCAAGCTTTATCCTTGAGTGTCAAGGTGATATCACGTCAAGTCGATCCGATCAATACCACTAAATTATGACAGTATTAGCCATTCACGCTAGTGTGTGGGCACTTGCAACTTGTGTTCACGCGATGTCTTGTTAATATTACTGCCGGAACACCCAGTTAGGGGCTGCACGGTGTAGCGATTGGGGTTGCGTGCACTTGTCTTGGTTTGTTTGATGAATTTCACCTTCTAACTCGTATCGTACGTGCGCGTGAAATACGTCTGGACAGCGCTGCATCATTTCAGGGGACAAAGTCTTCAAAGACCAAAAGCTTTCATGGTGAAGGGATGGCGCTTGGCTAAATTTGTGGGGTATTGTCCACCGTATGTGGTTGGACACTGCATTTCTGTCATGCTCGAAGCACCCTGGTTGCATACGTTTCATATCCAAATTCATCGGACAGAGTAGAAACAACTTTCGTGTCATCCACTCTCATTTGATGCTTTCGTACTGACATGATATCGACTATTTAGAAGCTATGTAGCTATTAAGTACGTTTACTTCACTATCTATTAATGACTACTTCTAACCCCATTTCGTTGTTTTTTGATACCTCGTGGATCTCGTCCGCTTTGCACGACAGTCCTCGGACATGTGGAGGGTCTCGGAGCACTATTATCCGTATTTGCGATATGCCACATAGTCTCGTGATACCGTGAAATATTTGTATGTTCCCTTCACTTCGACAACAGAACAAATTGGCACTCGGCGACACGAGTGGTACAGAGGTGGAACACGTATGACAAAGCTGCTCTCTACCCAGTGGACAGTCCTATGCAGTATGGTCAAAGGCACTTCAGTTATGCAAGACTTCGGTCTACTGACCAGCGTCAAAGGAACGTTTGCCGGTATCACAGACGCAATAACGATAATGATTGCGTTGGTTTTTCGGTTTTCTGAAATAAAGGCTAGTTCAGAAAATTTGACGCACACAGTGAAGTGCGTTTATGACTCGATATATTTGTCACGGGATTTTAGGTCTTAAAAAAGGTAACCTGTTTCGGTGAACCTGGCTGAAGTGAAGCAGGTTATAATTCAACTGTCGTTTACTACACTAGTACATCATTCTATCTATCAACTCTTCTTCTTAGACAAGCCAATCAGTCATAAAATTTGGATCCCTCATATTGGCTAGATGTTGATCTTGCTCGATTGGTCAACATTAGAGGCTGACCCTCAAACTGTTGCTCACCATGCCGCGGTCTACAGTGCTTTGGTATTACAGACAACCATTTAGGTCCAATTGTCTTCGTGGATATTCGTTCGTTGTGCAACTAAGCCAGCCCAGTCCATCCGAATGTCAAACAGGCGGTATAAATTCACCACTGTAGTTGGGGTTAATTAAAAATGTTGATCCTAAACGTTTTGGTTTTTTCAACTCTCGCTTGGATAGGGGACGCGGACGAGTGAGTCAAGCAAGATAGAAGCTATATGCGATACCAATGTTGTGGCTTTTCACGCCTAGATTGCTCATTAAAAATTGCAAACTAACGTCTTACAAATGAACTTTAGCACTGTCAGTAAAATGTTTGCGGTTCCGCTGGAATACGACAACCTATCGGTAAGTTTGATAGCAGACCATTATCCAATTTTACCTCAGGGATCGTTCGTCACCAAAGTGCAAGTTGGCACTCCCCCACAAACATTCTATGTGGTTTTGGACACTGGTTCTCCACAGCGTTGGTTGCCGTCAGCTGAATCAAATGATCCTATCGTAAAGTCGCGAAAACGGAGGTACAGATCGAGGACGAGGAAACCCACGGAAACGATAGTTTCTGTTAAATATGCGAGCATGAGCGTTGTTGGACGGTTGGTTGAGGATACTTTGATTGTGAGTAATGCTAGTTAATTCGATTGTTCACGATGCAGATAGGTGGATACACGTTTCAGGATTTCAAGTTTCTCGAAGTAACCGAGATGCCCCGAGCTCCAGGAAAGAATCCAATGTTCGATGGCGTTTTTGGACTAGTTTTGGATATGACATCGCCGGAGTTTCATCCGACACTACTTGGTATGATGCAGGAGTGCGACCTGATTGAAGAGCATTCGGTGTCATTCCGATTTTGTGGGTAGGTCGTTATGAACCATATAATTCACATAGTACCAATCAACTGGTATGAATTTTCACGAAGAATGACACTTTTTAGTAATTTGCGGTCGGGTATTTATCAATGATCTCTTCGCTGTTGCACTAAGCTTTCCAGATATTAGCACTTTTTGGATCCAGTCACCATGTAGGCTCGGTGAAATATGAATCCAATAAATGATCAACCCTCTATCGAAACAGGGGAACAGAGAATGGACAATTTGGATAGCTGTAATCCCTTTCACCGCATGCACCAACGCTTCCGTAACTTCCGAAACTACACTTCAAAATTTAGTTTCTGTTTTTCTTTACAAAGTGAAGTAGAAGCAATACAATAAAGAAATCTGACAGATATTCCATGTAGCCCAATATTCGCCACTCATGCCGGTTAATCCGGATGAATATTCCTGCCTCATTTAAACTCACTATTTTGATCATTCAGAGGAATCTACGTTGGGATGTATTGTGAACAATTCATTTTAAGATAAGGTGACAACGCTTACCCACACTTGAATACGAACTAAGCTGAATAAAATTGCTCACAACACTCACAAATAGTGTTAGTCATATTGGGATAGCTCCTTAGATTTTAAACTAAACGTTCACCGTGATACATTCAAGGAGGTCGGATGCAATAGTAATTCACTCTGTAGCGCAACCATGGATCAAGATCAACAGAACTGCTCAAAATATTACAACATACCCAAATGTTCGTGGCAAAAAGCATCCAACAGATCAGCGTTCTGGCAAACAGAATATGTTGCACTTGCGCAACAGATCCAAACTCAAGCGATCGACGATGATACCACCCGAACCGGTAACGAAATATTCCCAATCCGAGTTCCAAGCTCAGCTTGTACTGCATTGATACAGGTGCATTGATACAGTGCATTTGGTTGTTGGTCTGTTCGCCGAGCTTGGCAGTTGGATTGCAATTGGATGCAGTTCGATGCAATCCAACTGCCAAGCTCGGCGAACAGACCAACAACCAAATGCACTGTATCAATGCACCTGTATCAATGCAGTACAAGCTGAGCTTGGAACTCGGATTGGGAATATTTCGTTACCGGTTCGGGTGGTATCATCGTCGATCGCTTGAGTTTGGATCTGTTGCGCAAGTGCAACATATTCTGTTTGCCAGAACGCTGATCTGTTGGATGCTTTTTGCCACGAACATTTGGGTATGTTGTAATATTTTGAGCAGTTCTGTTGATCTTGATCCATGGTTGCGCTACAGAGTGAATTACTATTGCATCCGACCTCCTTGAATGTATCACGGTGAACGTTTAGTTTAAAATCTAAGGAGCTATCCCACGTGCAGTAGTAAACCATTTAGTTCCATGAGGGCAAAACCATGCATAATGCAATCAAAAATAGTAATTTCCTCGCCAAAAAAACCACCAGCTCGGTTGCAAGTTGGATGCAATCCAACTGCCAAGCTCGGCGAACAGACCAACAACCAAACAGCGCACCCGAGCTAGCTACATTCCACAACATTGCTATACAGTGCATTGATACGGGGTGCCTAAGCGCAAAATATGACCAAGCCAATTAGTAACTTAAGGCCTTCTCAGACTTATGGACCAGAATGACTCACCTAAACAAATCACAAGATGACGAACTGACCTATATTCTGCATGCTGCCCTCATGATAATTACCGCATGACGAAGCCTAACTAGTAAGCTGCTACCAGAACGTTAATCCTGGGGGTTTGAAATTAACCTGCCAACCGGGTCACAGAATTTTGGCGCAGACGGTTTCGGCAGCTGGGCCACAGTGCCCGATATTGCTCCATGCGTAAACTTTACTGGGGCTAGTTACTGCCGAGCTCGGTGTGTCAACCCAGTGTCAACCGATGAAAACTGAGCCAGATCGCAGTCAAGTTGATATTTCATAATCAAATACCAGAGAAAACCCGTGGTTTTTGTGTCTTTATAATTCTCTGGGTAAAAACAAAGGCAGTGAAGTGTTGAAAGCAACTAAAGAAACATTCTGGCGTATGTGTGTTCATCCAAAATTCCAGTCCGGATCCAAGTGATAACGTTCTCGTCCCGGGTGTCACACAGTAGCCAGCCCTTTTCAGTACCACCTGGTTCTGCGTACAGACTAACTTACCACCTCGATCGTGAAGTACACTAAAAGCACATGTTACAAAAACCCTGACGACGCCTCTATGATAGTGTAACAGTACTTTTGCCATGACCACTATCCATATGTGTGGTCTCCGACACAACCCGAGGAGAATATTCTCGGTGGGATAGTACACACTGTAGCCGATTTTTGAATATTTTTTTATCAGAGTGAACGTTCTTCAAAACTGGAAAATAACGCAATTCCAGCCCCCCTGGCCTCTCGACGGGCCGCTTGTCGCCAAATCAGCATACGATGCTTGAAACCACGCATGAGTGAATACAGAGAAAAAAGGGTAGGCCTTGGAAGCTAGTGTCCGACAGCAAATTGTGTGTGAGCACGGAACGTGCAATTTTGCTAACATCTGTAAGCATTAGCACCTCCTGGAAAATAGTTCTTGAAATCAATCCAATCTGTAGATAATGTCCATTAGGCTGTAGCCCCCTTTCGGCTCCCAGATGTCATACACCGAAGCCGAAGCCTAGCCAGGAGAAGTCGAGATGCAGAGGTCGGGTTCGAACCACGTACATTCAAGTCAGTAAATTCGTCCTCTTAACCACTGAGCCAAGTTCGAACCGCAACATGAAGATGTAGCAAAATTCCTGAAAACTTAGATGCTCAATACTCGGTTGCAGATAACGTATGAATAGTTAATCAATTTTTAATATTCAGTATCAGAGTGTCAAGTAGCGTTACACGCCTTCAACTAACGTAAACCGAGCAGACAAGTGCCTACCTGCTCTTTTGTGTCTACACTAGTCCCCTAGTAAACAGTTTCAATTCATGGCTGATAAGTACTCAGGTTCAAAAAGGCAATACGATTCAACCGGCGCGATTTTACAACCACACGGTGATTTTTTAATCGATCGGTTTCCATTCCTAAAGGAGCGCCATGTGCATTGTACACTCCGCCGTTGAACACCGCCAATGTGGCTGACAACTCAGGTTGCTTAATGTGGCCGCGCTTGAATCCATTATTCCCGCTCTTGAATTCACGATTTCTGCAGTGGAAGTTGAAACATTCCTGTTGCAAGATACATTTCAACAAAGTGGCTATTAACTTACGGCTTACACTCGGTATCACGTCACTTACTCATTTGCGGTACTAATGTAGTGTTGCACGATAATCCATCTGGGATATTTTCTGGGGTTGCCGGTTATGAACCATAACGCATGTCAAAATCGCGCACGAATAATGGACTTTAAATGCTTTCCTAGCAGCGCCTTGGTGGTCGCAGTTGATGAATTAATTGAGTGGCTTCAGTGCAACTCCTGAGGTTGTTTCAGTGCCAAATTTCACGTACAATTACCCATATCGCCAAGTTCCAAAGCCAATGTTTGTGCACATCTACCTTCAAACAGGAAGAAGTCTGAAACTGGCGCGACAGTGTTCGAGAAAGGGGACGCAGTCTTCGGAGATGTCCCAAGCACGTACCATCATGGCGAAGTGGTTTATCTGCCGACGACTCCTGCGCGGTTGCCCACAGTTTCGGTGACTTCGTACGTCATATTTCCAGTATCTAACAGAAAATCATTTGACCATGAGCAGGTTATCTTGGCAGAAACAAAATTCGATAGAATTCATTGGCTGGTGGACGTATTGCTATTTTTCTACTTTTCCGATAACCGTACATAACATAATACAGCATCATGCTTTTCATGATGTAATATATATATACGTAATATAATATATATATATATATGTAATTTATATCACCAGATATTCAGTTGGGACATGATAAATTCTCCTTCGCCCAAGCAGCGGATGCCAAACAAAACTGCGGCATTGATTGGATCTGAGATAACTGTCCCTGCCAGTTCCGAATATTATTGAACCCGGCGCGAATTATCAGAGATCAAATACTATTCGTACGACCGTACTCGTAGCCTGTTAGAAGTTAGAAAGTGATGAGAATGTTCCGAAATTATTCCAGCTAATCAAAAAAACAAACCCTCGAAACTCGACTATGAGTTAAGCAACCGAGCATCAACCTTACGAAGTAATCCTCAATAAAGCATGTCACCTGAAGCTCTGAAACCATCAGTACGCTAACCTGTCCTCCTTTGTCAGGCACCCGAACTGCACTGGACCCTGGAGGGTGAATTTAGTATCAAAACTACACATGGAGATAGACTAGCAGTCTTGGAGTACGCGGACAACATTCTCTTGTTGTTTGATGCCAAGCAACAAGCACCGTCTACTATGGGTAGAATTTGCAACGTTACCTTCAATGTGGAAAGCATGTCTCCATAATCTTCAGTCTCCTCTGAAGGTTTACGACAGAAGCTAGATGTTGATCGGTTTGTTTATCTTGAATCTAACGGGACTAAAGACGTCAATGCAAGTCAACGACGCGAGGAAAAGTCTTAAGCATGCAACACCTATGGCATCAGAATCATGTATCAACAACAATGACGGGTTTCGTGTACAGCTCAACCGTAAAAGCGGTCAATCTACGGCTGCAAACATCGAACTCCCCTGCCCGATTCAGAGAAATGAGACGGATTAAAAAGTTCGATCGCGTGTAACTTGACGTTTCCATCTAGCTGGACCATGTTTGCTATTTGATGGCGCGTAAACGAGGGCATGCCGATGAATCAAAAAAGAACGATAGGTGAAGCTCACCAAGTTGAGATGTATGTGGCCTGTTCTTTGCAGGCCCAACTGCCGTCTACCGGACGAAGGACAATTTGCAAATCCGCACTGACGTTGAAGAAAGGCAAGAGGGAGACAAGCCACGACTTGCCAACATAAAATGAAGGCCCTCGAGTAATTCATCTCAATTCGTCTTTGGGGAATTGTGTATCATACCTATATTACGGTTAAACACTAGCACATTTGTGTCGATGCTGTCTGTCATTGTCTACTTTAACGGCGCGAATTTACTCCATTCACCACATGAGTCCAGTTTAATCGCTATTCTACTTCATAGGATGACAGTAAGTTTGTTTTATTATTGATTGGGTTTCCAGCTGTTTGGCCAATTAAAGCATCCGTCAATGCATGCCCTCATGCCTGGTAGGCAACTGGCGTTCTCCAGAGGACTGTGCGATACATCCCCGTTAGAACAGCTTTCGGCATAACAGCACCTGGGACTTAGGTCACCCGTATATTTACACAATGAAGGTGTCAACCTCGCGCTATATCGGACTATACGGACTGTACTCGGGCCAAATACCTAGGCCGTCCTCCAGAAACAATGGTGTCTGATTCCTTGGTTGAAATGTCACGTCGCTCCTCACACTGTTTCACTGAGGTAAAATTTCAAGCATAGATTACTTGAGGATGAAGTTTGTCAGTAACCTCTGACTGGGCTTATCTCTTCTGGATGAACTCTCCTCTGTTCAGCGGCTGTTTTCCTTGCGGATTCCTATTAGGCGGGATGTCCAATCGGTGTCCAATGAATGGCGGTTAGCAACGAATGATGGTTGAGTGGGGCTATGATCAGAGGCCATGGATTGGAGGTTTGAAACTCCACGATCTGACCAAACTAAGTACATTTTGTGCTTCCATGTTTGCTCGAAAACGTATGTTTTACGTTTTGTCTACTGTTTGGTTCATAATTCAGTGCACCAACAAGGCTCATTCTTGGTTCGACCAAGTGTTTCGAAAGTTCGGAAGTTCACTGAAGCTCAAAGTTCACGCATCCAATGAGAGGATTAACTTAAGGTTTCGGCACCTGGTCACCCAAATCTGAAGATTCAGACTGTCTCCCGACGGTTGATCATCGGTACCTCCGAATCATAGCAGGAGGTAACTGGCTGCAACATGAACGCAACGAATTGATACGCAAACCAGTACATACTAGAGAAGCAAAGTAGCTAGCACGGTGAGTAGAAATTATCAAATGTGCATGGTTAGAAGAATAAACGACGCCTGCTCAATCCTCGTTGCATTCGTTCCGAACGCATGATTGTGGAATTCTCCGGGAAGACGGGCCATGACGTGGATGTGTGAATTGAAAGCGGCTACAAACAAACGGCGTGCTGTGGGATTTATACATTTTCATGAATGGGGCTCACATGGCTCTGGTCCAACGGGGCGGTCATCTCCACAGGGAGTTCGGGACACCGCTAACTGGCGGTTGTCCACCTCTCTATGCTGGGTTCTTGTTGAGGGGGGATGAGGAGATTCTAACGAAGGGGCTTGGAGTAAATATATGATACAGGAGCAGACGAGGTACGAGGGTGTTAGAGGAGTCTAAGAGTGGTTGACACCGGAGAACTGAATGCGTAAGTTGGCACAGTTTAAACAAATTGGTAGTATGGGTAGTATGGGTAAGAATGCGTGGAAGGGTCAAGTGAGGAATTAGGCGTGTTGATAGTGTCATCGGTGCAGACAAAGCATTGGGTTTAACCAGATTTGGGTAGACTAAAATGGGGGAGTCTCAGCTTTACCATTTTGGTGAGGTCTGTCATTTGACGTGAAAATCTGGTTTCTGCTGGCATAACGCGTGTGTTAGCAACCAGAAATTCAGTGACTCTGATTTCGGGAACTGGCAAGCGTCAGCGCAATAAAAATGCCGACAAAACGGAATGTCAATGTGGAGATTGCGGGGAGAAGGTGTCCTTATGAAAACTTTAGTTTGTGGCTTGTTTATATAACAGTGGGTCGAATTGCGACCCGCAGGCTTGTCTACGATCTTCGATTCTTTATTGTATGTCTTGCGAGTAAGCCAAAATCCATGCATTGCGTTCTGATTCGGTAATAAATGATGGAAACAAGATCTTTTTTATCATTCTCTATCCGGGTTTGCGGTTTTACGCCTAGAAACCGATTCCAAGGGCGAGCGACACAGTCAATGCTCCCGTTTGTCTACTATTAAATTAACCTCTCTCAGTTTGAGTAGTACCTAACAGGGAGAACTATTTTTTATGCGTCCTCAGGAGCGTAATATGTCTAAGCCCGTTGGTGCTTCAGTTGTGGCGTAATTAGATTGATCATCAGAAGAGTAATATGCTAAGCCTGCTCGCGCTCTTGTTGTGACGTAATTAAGTTGATTATCAGGAGGTAACAAGCACTAACAAATGTCTGTCTTAACAGAATGTAATAAATACAATAGTTAGGTGCACTTGATAAAATAGGATACAATGCTAAAAGTGAACTAATCCAAAAAGTGACCAATCGTTTGAGAACACTTGTTGAGAGTTCCTGAGTGAAGTTCCGGACGCGGGACGTGTCTTCTCTGCAGTATGGCTACCACACGTGTTCCGTAGTATACCGCGGAGACTTGCGGAGCTCTGTTGACTTCCTGTCCTGTGCCCCCACACTCTT